AAGAAGTATCAGTGACAACTGAGATTTCATTCTTGATGTAAGATGACCAAAGAAGTATCAGTGACAACTGAGATTTCATTCTTGATGTAAGATGGCCAAAAATTATTATTGCTGGTTCTGTTCATCAGTATAGTAATTGTTGAGTGAGCTGAGAACAGTTTTCAAAGTTAACCATGCTATACGCTTTGTAAGATGAATTATTCTATTTTTAAATTCTTTATGAATACACTGAAGATTTTCTACATGTAGACTAAAAAGTACACTTTAAAAATATAGAGAGACATTTAACAAAGCCATGGGTGCCCACAGGAAGGGTCAAAAGGGGGCATTTACCCCCCTACATTTCACCAAAAAATTGCATGTATTATGATGTAAACTTAACATCGTAATTAAACTGAATATTTTTTGTAATTTTTATCCAAACTGTAAATTTCTGTTTGCATTTGAGCACACATAATACATATTCTTTTAGTCTGTTGACTTACACCATAAAGCTGATCCCCTTGTAAGTATTTCTGGCGGCCCACATGAACCAAACCTCAATTTCTTTGTGAGTTTAATAATTTTGTTTCTTTAATTGCAACAAACACGTAGTCGCTTTAACTATGTGACCAAGTATGCAGTCACATTTACTATTTGAACAAGCATGTTGTCACATTTATTATGTGACCATGTATATAGTAACATTTACTATGTGACCAAGCATGTTGTAACACTTACTGTGTGACCATGTATATAGTAACATTTACTATGTGACCAAGCATGTAGTAACACTTACTGTGTGACCATGTATATAGTAACACTTACTATGTGACCAAGCATGTAGTAACACTTACTATGTGATCATGTATATGGTAACACTTACTGTGTCTATGTGACCAAGTATGTAGTAACACTTACTATGTGACCATGTATATAGTAACACTTACTGTGTCTATGTGACCAAGTATGTAGTAACATTTACTATTTGAACAAGCATGTAGCTATTTTAAATTGAATTCTGCTACTAATTACTTTGGTTTCACTTTTTGCCTCAGTTTCATCCACTGTTGCTATGGAAACCTCAATATGTCAATGAAGATAGCATTGAAACACAAATTGTATTAAAATCCTTCTTATTTTTTAAGGACACGTTTTTCAACATAAATTATTGTTTTGAAATCTTTAATACTTTGTTCCAGACTTTATGCATTTATTTTAGTTTGTTTTTGTAAAGGGAGGAAGACAGTCTACAGACAGAGAGGAGGGGATTCGAACATTGAAGAGTAGGCTTAACATGATAGGAGGTTTTGGTGGGGTGAGAAGAACTATGTGTATTTTATGATAATATGATATATATCAAAATCATTTGGACCTGGTAACATTTCTTGTGTGGTTTTTTTCACATGTTTGTGAGCCACGTTATTTCACTAGCTTAAGTTAGATATTATTGCGGAATTATTGTGCCCTATCACTACTGAAATCTTTTACTAGGCTATTTTGAAAATTCAAATTTGTATCTATTCATAATTTGTAAATAAATTTAAATGATTTTTAAAGATACGAAGACAGTTATTTTAACACAGCATTATTTAAGAAATTATCAGTTACAAGTTAAATTTGATAATAGTTGTTTATTGTTCATTATTTTATTTTATTGCTATGAAAGGGCCCCAGCAGAGCATCGAGTCTTCAGACAAGCCCTAAGAGACGTTCTCAAAGAAGACGATCCTCTTCATTAGACATGGGTCGAGCTTCATTTATGAGCGGACACAATTCACGTTCTGTTTCACGAGCCAATCAATCTCTGTTACATCTTCGGTCAGACTCGTGGGATGAGGATGACATTGTAGAACTTGATTTAGAAAAGTAGGCCTAAGTTAGTTTTCTATAGAAAGATTAGTTTGGTCAAACAACGAATAAATCTTTAAAAGTGATGTATCCCAGACTTTTATATGTATATATTAGTCTGTTAAAAACATCTAACAGTCACCATAGGAATGAATCATATTTTTGTTTGAGGATTTTGTGTGAAATGAAAATAAGCAAAGAAACTGTCAATCAACAATAATAAAACTAACAAGTATTGTAGCATGCACTTATTGTAATGAGAGATGCATAACATTGCACCTAAGACTAACTTGTTAGGCATGGGATAAGTTTTATAAGAATCAGTTAATCTAATATTGCTTGAGCAGCCTATATTATAATTTTAAAAGCTATTTTAATGACCCAATTAACTTTTAATTTGGACATAATTTAATGGAACACTTAGCTAGAACATGTTTAGAATTGTATGAAGGGGGGGTGATTTCAATATATAAAATTCATTTATCTACAGTGAACAAATTCAATGGTCATCCGAGATGACCGGAAAGTCTGTCAGAGAACAGAAAAATTTATTTCAGACTTTAAAGCTGTATGTACTGCCTAGTGTTAGCATTTCAGAGTTGAACCAGGAAAATGTAATGAAACACAAGCAATGCAAGAGTGTTATCAAGGAAATTATAACTACTGGGTTATTTTCAAGTTTTTATTGTACATCTCTGCTGGCTCAGATCAACTTACAAACATACACACATAATGGTTTTTCCTCCTAAGCCATTCACTGCACAATATGAGTTCGGACTGGCTCGGAAACTTCCATAAACACTCTACCTCTAGCTGTACACACTGTACTATAAGTCTTAATTCACAGCCCACCTTTGAAGGACCCTGTAATAATACTTGGAATAAATTTCCACATCATTAACATCCCTATTCAAAATGGAATGTGCCATGCTTGATAGTTCATCCAATCACAACTGATGATTGCTCAGCTTACTGTGTAATGTGTTTTCTTAGGCAGAAGTTAACGATTCCATTGGAGGGGTGATAAAATTATCAATGTCTTCCATTTCAAATACATTGACATAGCTGCTGAAAAGAAAGGCCTTTGGTATTGAGATTAAACAAATATGAGTGCACAGTAAATTGAGTTTGTTTTGGCATGAAATAATTGCTACTGTAGCATATCTGTTCATCTTACGGTAGCAATTAATGAAAACCTCACATTAATCTCTGTCCTATATGAATTGTATGATAGGAATGGATGCATGAAAATATAAACGAACAAAACAACAACTTTTTTTTGCTGGTTTTCTGAAATGTAAAGAAAGTCTCGTTCACTGTGTACAGTAGGTGTAATGTATTAATGTTAATGTATTGCTCACGATAGTGGGGAAGTACATTTCCCGAACACTTGATACACAACATTCAATTAGTTATTGTATCATTTTCACTCTAGTATATTTGATGGTAGTGATCCTGTTACCGTATCCCGTCATTTTACTTGTGCTGCCTTGTTTATGGTAATTATTCAGGTTGTCAAGACAAAAAGAAAATGGAATGTTGATAAGTATTTCCAAGTTGTTGATCCAAGTTGTTTGATGAGACATGAGTGAATACACAGTGTTGTTTAACAAGGTCACAGGCAGTGCAAATATAAATTTATGATTTGCTCATTTTATGTTCTCATCCAATATCGTTGTTATGTGACAATCTCAGCAAACACCGTTAAAATTCGGAATAGTTTTAAGAGGAAAACTTTTACTTATGGAGGGACAACCTTTTTTTTTTTATGCAGGACAACCATGGTCTAGTTAATCGTTCAAACTGGGTGCTAATAGTTTGTTTAGTTTGAACATACTTGGGGAATAGTGTTTCTACTAATAAAATGAGATTTAAAAAATCTTTTATACATCCAATGACAGAATGAACTCAACTGGTATTTGTGAAGAGTCCAAAAGGTCCATTGTCTTATTGTTTTTAATAGTTTCAATATAGAATTTTCATGACTACTAAGGAAATATTAGCAATTTTACATTCTGTAAAGAATATCAGAAGACCATAAATTACTATTTAGTGAGTGATCTTTTATAAAAGCTGCAGGGAGGACCAGCATGGCCAGGTGGTTAGGTCACTTGACTCGCAATCTGAGGGTAGCTGGGTCGAATCCCCGTCCCACCAAACATGTTCGCCCTTTCAGCCGTGGGGGCTTTATAATGTGACAGTCAATCCCAC